TTCTTTGTATGTAGGTTGGTTTGGTAGGTTGGTTTGGGTAAAATCTTGCAATCAATTTTTCAAACCTAGCCCAGGATCCGATGACAATGCAATATGAAAATGAATTAATCCGCTAGGTGGCGCAGAATTCGAGATATTTACATGTATAGAAATAACTCTATAAAACAAAATTAGCCGGTAGGTCTCGCGGCGATCGATATATTTTGAAAACCCACATATATAGTGTGATTTAGGTTATATGTATTTAGAATATGTATATCTTCCTTACATGAAAAGGAATAGCTAGAGAATAGAAATCTTGTCGATAGGTGGCGCAGAAGTTGCGGTATTTGGAAAACCCGTGTTTATGGTCCGATTTTGTTCACATTTGGAATGCTTGTTTAAAAGATACTTTTTTACTTATTTCATTTAAGGAGTGGCTTTTACGATGCCACATATCTATAAATTTGGTATACTCTCAATAACTTTTAAGGGGCGGATCTCCCAGTTGTTGTGGCGCTAAACGGGGATAAGACAAAGTACCTTCTAGCGACGCACTAAGACTCTTCGTGGATTAGGGCACACGTCACAGTTGACATTTACAACTTTAAGGTATTGAAGGACTTTCTGTATCTAGGATTCACCGATTAATATTGTCAAATAGAGATGCAGCGGCAATATTACCAAAGTCTTCCTTGATGTCCAAAAAACACACGGCGCAGCCCCATTAGGCTCGTCCACCCTTTTAACCGTACTATCCAAGTACCCCTCGAAAGTATCTATGTATGTATTCTGACAGCGTCATTAAGTTTCACCACATTATTCTTCCTCAATGTGCCACTGCGTATACATATGTAAATATTTTTCATAAATGTAATTTTTGATCGATTAAATAAAACAATTAGCCTTTCAGCAAACAAATTCATTACGAAAGGCTCTATAAATCGCTAATATAATCAACTCACGTCACGCTCCCACCTTGATGCGTATTTCATGGCTAACCGTAATTTAACAAAGCATTCACTTAAACTTAACGGTCGCATATCTACGCCCAGCCATTAGAGCGCAAAGCATTTGTACGGGTGGAACACGATTTCTTTGCGCACCTGATGTCATGCCACTTTTTTGCTCATTTGTGTAACTGCAGTTTTCCGAGTAGCATCACCGTTCATGCACAGTGATATTTGAATTGATTTTAGCTGTAATGCATGGAGTTTTGCTATTAGTTTTCTTATTGAAATACTCCATCCGGTTGTGTGCGACCCTTAGCATCGAGGCGCCAGACACCGTTTGTAATTCTACCATCAGTTACAATGTCAGATACGCACTTTCGAGCATAATCACTCGATACTTTGTGCCAAATTCCAGTGAATTACTCATCTCTACGCATGCAAAGCATCTAGGAGCATGGCGACTAATGCTCGATCTGCTCACTTGTGCGATACCATTTATATCCAACATAAAAGTGCAGCTGGAAACCATGGATTCGCCACGCCTACCATCGCCTAGCAGAATGTATAACCTCCTGGTGATAGACAGTATGCAGGCGTTAGTGTGAGAATTGCGCTGAAAGCGTTTAAAAAAAAATTGTTTTACGAGACTTTACTTTTTCTTTCCACAGAGAACTTGATCCCGCTTTGCTCACCAAGAATTTCGACGATCCCGAAAAATACTTGATATTGCTAATTGGACCTGACACAACACTAATGCCGAATTTGCTCATCTCCACCATTTTAAGCTACTTTTGGCGAAATTATCTCATCCATGTCAGTCTGCTGTACGAAAGTAAGCCCAACTATGTGGAGGTCTACACCTATTTTCCCTTTTTGGAGAACAGCGCTTGCAAAGCGAATAATGTTCGTGTCATCAATGCTTACAATGGCACTTGGCAGAAGCCTTTGGAAGCGACCATTTTTCCCAAGAAGCTGATCAACATGCAAAATTGCTCACTAACGGTGGCCGTCTGGGATGCGCCACCTTATTTGAGTTACTACCCCAATAGAAGTGGCTATGAGCGGCTGGGTTCGTTCGAAGGCGACATGCTAGTCGAATTGGCAAAGAAGCTGAATTTCAGCATGGAATTGGTGGAGCCGCCGAACAAAGAATTGCGCGGTCAACGTTTGGCCAATGGCACATTAACTGGCGCTATGCGACTGGTAAGTAGTGGTTCTTCGTGTATTTTCATGCTCGTTACCTTTTTGAACCTCTCTCTTTCTCTCTCTGTCTCTCTCTCTCTCTCTCTCTGCGTATACCTCAGCTGCACGATCGCATAGCCGATATCAGTCTGGGTTGCTTTCGTTACACTGTGCAACGTTGCGAGGTACTCACAGGCGCCTTACCATATTATCAGACATGGCAAATATTTGGCGTCAAACTGGCCGGACACACCTACTCATCACTGGAAATATTCGCTTTTCCCTTCGACTTGGAGACTTGGTTCTGTCTTTTGATTAGTTTTCAGTTGATTTTTTTACTAGCCTATGCTATAAATAGCCGCTGTGATCACTCCACGCTCGCCCATATCATTGTCGGCTATCCGCGTCCTCGTTCGCCGCTCACCAATACTTTAAGCCTATTTCTGGGCATTCCAATTGAGCAAACTCCCCGAACAAATTTCGCACGATTCGTCCTAATTATGTGGGTAATCTATGGCTATGTGATGCGTAATGCCTATCAGAGCTTTCTCTATCAACTGCTTCAAACTGATCTCTATCGAACGCCACCACAAAACATTTTCGAACTTATCGAAAAAGGTTACTCGCTAATTATGACCGAAAATACACTAGAAACGGTGAGCGCGGCACCTCTGATCCAAAACGGTCGCATAGCCGTCATCATTAATAATAACACATACGAGTGGAAGTCATACGAAATGGTGGAGGAGTTGGGTGGTAATTTGGCAGCCGTATCACCTAAGGACTATCTCACCTTCTACATGATGGTGAAACATAAACGTGGCGCTTTCTATGTGCTACCCGATAGGTTCTTTCCACAGCACATCACGATGTATTTCTCAAAGCATAGCTATTTGATTGTGCGTTTCAATGAATTACTAATGCGACTGCGCAGTCAAGGCCTAATCGATTACTGGGCGGAGAAGCATCTAGACCTGAGTTATTATGATTTAGTTGCTGCAGTAAACGACGATGCACTGGCAATGAACGATCTTTGGGGAGTATTTGCCATATATCTTGGCATGGTTAGCTTAGCCGTTCTGGTATTTTTTGCCGAATTGCTGTGGCATAGCCTAACGTAAAATGTAAAATGATCGTCATGTGTGTAAGGAGGAACATAGTTTCATCTAGTTTTGCGGCTTATACAATTTATTGAATTTTACTCTAAAAATACTGTTTATAAATAAATTTTATTAAAATTGTAAGAGCTTAAGATTGATTTTCAATGATATGTGTGAATTGCGAAAACCGCAACAGGCAAAATAAAATATTTGGAAATATAATATATAATATATAAATATTATTATCCTTGCCGAACTCAAATGCTTTTGTTGAGCGCGTTTTTCCCCGTAATGAATTCAACAAAAATTAAGATTCGAAATAGGATGAGGTTGGAGAGCCTATTTCAATAGTTCGAATGAAAGCCTATATCAAACAGTGCGGGTATGTTATCAAGGTTGAATAGCTCAATATATGACAACAACACAAATGTAAATGATTCAGACACTATTGGTGATTTAGAAGAAATTGTGGAAATAGCTGATCTCGCTTCATTATAGGTTTTTATTTTATTTTTATTTTTACGCAATTAATACGAGTAATAATAAATTTAATGATTGCGCAGTCCTATTGAAACATGTGTTAATACAAATATTTTTAAAAATTATATTTAAAGAAAATTGTTTGTACATCACTATTGTATAAGTGTTTTGTGTTATTTATTATTACCCTGAAGGTATTCTATTCGTTTTTGGTTTCAGAAACTATATTATAACAAGATCTCATTTTTAAAATAAAAGATTTGTTAAGTCGATTTCATGAATTTAAAAAAAAAAAATAATAAAAAAAAATGGCGATTTCTGGTGCTATTTTTTAAGCAATCTGGACACCTTGGTTGCGAATGACTCTACATATGTAACTTACTTTCCTGGCATAACTGAAGCAAGTTAGGTGGAAATCAATAAAGTGCTTACCTAGATAAACTTGTGTAGTTATAAGTAAGCGGTGCGCGCAATTTTGTACGGCAATCACTGTACCGGTTTTGATATATGTAGTCATAAGTGGGCGGCGCCGCGCCCATTTGCCAACGATTTTTTATTATCTCATTTCTTTCTAAGAGATATTTACAAAACATCGATTTTGAGTGAATTGGCTTTAATAGTTACATATTTATCACAGTTGGCTTATTTATTAATGCACACGAAATTTCCTTAAGCCACCTGGGAACTACTACGTACCCCCCTAGTAGACTAATGGCTAATTAATAATAAGCACAAATGGTTCAGCTTCATTATGCTGTATACTTATAGGCACTATTCACAAATGGTCGCATGCAAACTGAAATAGTCATTTAAAGACAGTTTTAAATAACATATCATTGCATATACTTATGGACGATATATTTTTTTTTTTCTGCCGCCTCAACCCTGAACTTGAAACACATCCCTTCATTGTTCATGTTGTTAAACGATTTTCCCAAATTGCAAACAAGTTCACGCCATTAAGAGACAATGTTGCTAAATAGTATATCACCGATTCCTATCTAAAATTATAGGCTCATCTATGTTATTTCGCACCAGATAATCTATCTAGCCAATCTTAATGTAACGTAAATAACTCATGCGCCATCAGCGTGTTAAATGCAATACGTGAGCTTACAAATGGAAATGGAACATCCTCAGCGTGCAGCCAATTAAGCGCTCTAAGAGCATTTCGTGTTCGACGCGGTAAAGGATGCGCCAAACACGCAAGCCAAACTATGAAAACGACACATAATCCTAAACCTAAAGCTCCAATGTAGTATAATGGTCAGTTAAGTAGTTCGCCAATGGCATTGGTGCAAAACGGTTGGACTATTCTGATTTTCTGCTACAATTGAAATGGATATTATACTTCGTGACCTCGGCAGAGTTGAATTTGAAAAAACCGGAAATTATACTCTAATACTGGCCATTGCTTGGACCATTCTGAATGTGTATGCCAAGTATCCTTCGACGACGTTGATTATTTCGCAGTATGCCAGCGAACTGCAGAGCAACTTGCATCAAGCGGAGCTGATCGATGCATTAATGGTGTATTTAGAAAAGCGCCATCATCATGTCTACATCATGGAGCAGGAGAAAATGTTCGATGATGTGGATAGAAGCGAGTGGGGTGACATTTCCGATACAGCGATTTGGTTCATAGATAGTTGGAACTCATTTGGGTAAGTTGGGGCGATAGCTTTCTAGCTCAACCTTTGTACTCATTCCATTCCATTCAAATAAATATGCAGTGCTTTGGCAAAGGATTTGGATCATCCGCAAAGTGCATACCAACGCAGTGGTTGGTTTCTGATTGTCTACACCGGCACCGAACCGGAGCGTTTAGAAACCGTCAAGAATATATTTAGCCGATTGTTTGAACTCTTCTTTGTAAATGTCAATGTGTTCTTGTTGATGGATGCAACGCCATTTGTCTATACATATTTCCCATTTTCACGCACCAAATGTCATTCGGCCAAGCCAGAGTTATTGATGTCCTTTCGAAACAAGCGCCCAAGATATATCCACAAAAGCCACAGACGTTTTTTCCCGCCCAAAGTGAACAATCTGCATGGCTGCGAGTTAGGGGTAATAACATGGCACGACCCACCTTTCATGATTTTGAAAACAGTTGAAGAGACCGGACATATCGTATCGATTGATGGCATCGAAGGCATGTTAATAAGCCTTCTTTCTGAGGCTATGAATTTTGGTATACGAATTGTGGATCCACAACCGCATGATCGTGGCGCTATTTACGCAAATGGCACGCTTACAGGTGTTACAAGAATGGTAAATATGTATTTGTTTTCCCTCTATATTTTTGTATTCAAATAAATATGAATGTATTCGGTACCTTCTCTCTAATGTCCGTCCACCAGATAGTCGAAGGAGAAGGAAATATTTCGATAATATATTTTATGTACGAGAAGAAACGGGCACAAATTATGGACGCATCGTGTTCCTACATGGCTTTCCCTTTGCTGGTGGCCATACCACCCGGGCGTCCAATCTCTCCGCTGCAGCGTCTATTTCGACCGTTCAAGTACATCATTTGGTCGCTCATTGGATCCAACCTTGTATTAGCTGTGCTCATCATTTACGCACTAAAGCTATTCGGCAGCAAGCGATTGGTTTCGTTTGTTTTTGGGAAAGCCAATCGATTTCCCTTCAGTAATCTGTGGGCCTCGCTGTATGGTGGTGGTGTTATCCACAATCATTTGCCATACCGCAACTTTTCGCGATATCTTCTGGGCTTGTGGCTGCTATGCACATTGGTTTTGCGCTCCGCCTACACCGGCCAGCTCTTCATTATGCTGCAGGATGGACGCGCACTAACACCTTTGAAAACATTCCAAGAGATATTCGAAAAAAAGTTCGTAGTCAATACAGCTCCTGTACTTACCGAGCTGCTAACATCGGTGATGGGCAATGTTGCTGTTGTTAACATCGATGGTGGTAACAACTCAATGCCTATGATATTGAAACGTATAGCACGAGGCTCGAAAGAGATATTGAGCATAATCGAACCGGCTGTGATGTATTATAATTACCAACAGGAAACTGAGGATGAACGGGTGGCGATTTTGCCCCAAAAGTTGATAATGACACCACTGACAATGTACATGCGGAAGCATTCCTATCTAACCTTACCGATCAACGCCAAACTGCTCGATTTCATTGATTTGGGCATAATAAATAAGTTTGAGAATCGTTATCGCTTGCCCGACTCTGGTGAGGTGTCGCAGGAGCCGGTTCAGTTATCGCTCTTTCTGTTAACAGGCATTTTCGGTGTTTATCTAGTCTTAATGGGCTTTTGCACATTGGTTTTTCTCTTGGAACTTTGGACGACCAGATCGCCTCTGGCTAAAATGGCTATTGATTTTTTGAACTATTAGCAGAAAGTATGCTGTAATGGCAGGAATTTAAGTGTTCGCTTGCAACGAGATATTACCTGAGACTCGGTAACACATTGTTCCTAGCTTTCTTATGTATATTTTAAGTTTACGCAAAATATATATAAAAATATACGCATTTTAAAAAGTACCTCATTTCCTCTAATTTGTGGTGTGGGTCTTGAAGCTTTACACGATGTGAGAAGCTTTCTTGTGGCAGAAGTTCTTCCGTGAATATCAAGGGGCGATATCTATTATTTTGACGTTGCCTGGAGCTGAGATCGCACTTTGATTCAACCACCCGCCTACTGCGGCTAATCTTCTAATATTTGCTGACTCTACTCAAACAGTAAGTACTTACCCCTAAATGACTGAAGAAATGTCGTGAAACCCTACACCTTTGAACGGAGCTATGTAGACAGTTTATTTGTATGATGACTTTCGAGAAAGGTAACCTGAAAACCATTTTTTCTGGGTACAGCTGATTTGTCGCTAGAGCTGTGACGAATGTGTGGATACCATAAGACATGGTAGTGGTTCCTTTCACAACTTCAAAACGCCCGTTCTGCAGGGTATCTCGTACTCAGCATGGTGCTTGCTATGAGCGGAGAAATCCTGTGAGATGGTTCTGCAAAATCCATTTGCCACATTAAACAATGCCTAAGAAATTTTTGTAGACATAGGGGGCGAAGGTGATAATGTCACCTTCAGTATATGCAAATTGGTTCTAAACCATGGATTAGATGCTGTCCGGTTCATTTTTATTCAGACAGAGGGAGTTCCATATATCGCGCGCGGAGTCAATAGAGACTGCCTTCAGAACGGGATGCATTATACTTTTCTGGTAGCTGTTTTTATCTCTATCAATGCCAATAACTCCGGTATCCATACTTAGACGTATGAAGATGATATCGCCTATCTCTTCAAGAACGTACCTCTTACTACTGTATGTAGGAAAGCGTAACGAAACGGACTTCCTAGAAAGGGAAGATCGGATGGATGCATTCCCTTTTCACTTACAGGAGACACAATTTATATTTCTTTCCGAAGTAAAATATCTAAAGCCGGCGGTAGATGGGATGTGGAGTTTACATAAATCACTTGTTTCACCTTGTACCCAAGTGACATGGGTGCATCTGGTAATGAGACATCTGACCATTTAACCAGAAAGTAGTCAAATAAGGTAGTAGCCACCGGAGCCACCGTCATAAGCTGGCTGAATATTTCGCTCAATAATAGCGGGGAGGCATCTAGGAGCTGCAGGTGGGCAAAACTCATGTTGTCCTAAATTTCTGAAGGTCTAGCTAAGTATTTTCCGTCGTTGATGAGTGCAGAAAGCTTGTGGGATTATTGACTGTTCACTTCTCGGCTCCCAAAAATTAGATATGCGGATACTACGAAGTCGGTTCCATTTGTGTGATATAAAAAGGAGATATAAAAAGTCGTTAAAATGCGCAACTTATTTGTTGCCAAGCATGCGCTTACCTCCTTAAAAATTTTACCCTTCTTGTCCGAGGTACGTAAAATATCTCCACCACTTAGCCATTGGTATTCCAAAGTGAAATTCATCTTTGTAGCCAAGTATTCGATCAACTTTCCCTCAATGCCTTCAAGCGAGCCAGCGTCTAACTCAAGCTAGGAGATTTCTTTCCAGGTGGCACAAGTCAAGGCACATCCATGTAAATTTGCCAGTTTATTGGGAAAGAAGGTTGTTTGTCGCCAGCGCAAATTGGTAAAGCGATTTTGTATAGTTGGCGCCAGATCTTTGCAATGGAACCTATTGAATGGATGAATGTTGTACAGCAGCGACAAATTGGATAGAGCATACACCAACACATTGGCATCAATTATGCCCAGAAACCAGTTAAGTTCGAAAATCTCGAAGAGCACATCATAGTAGTGAGCCGAGTTGAAGGGGAGTAAGACAATAATAAAGTGTCCATTGGCATGGACCTGGTACTTTTCAAACTCAGCATAGGTGGAGCTTGTCATTCACAAAAAAAAAAAATGGAAAGCATGAAATTGTTTTGCGCGAAAAAATTCCAAATCTTGGCGACACCTACTTCAGCGATGCAGGAGAATTCACAAGCAGCATATTGTAGTGGCGTTCATGATCACCAGGCACTGGCTGCCCCATGCCGATGCGAACCGTGTTAGCGCTACCGAGCATAGAAGTCGAAGGAGTATACTTGACGATGTTTAATAAAGCTGGTTCCAACAATCTCTCCGATAGCTGCAGATAGATTGTCTGCGATCTCAACATAATCTAGGTCATCCTCCATGCCTCTGCGCTTTGCAAATATTGAGTTGCTAAAAATTAACAATGTGAAAAAAACGGCGTCAAATTAGATGCTTCTCAAAGCCATATAAAGCGGCGCCAAGGGATTGGCTCACCCGAAACCGAAAGCTTGACTACGCGCTGTACTCAAAAATTTACTAAATATTATTTATTTTGAACTTGTAGTGCAACTGCTATTAACATTTACATGTGTGCTGGATTATCTCCCCCTTAATTTGGCTAATGGAATCATTAACGAAACAAATTTTAAATTATCATCCAAATTAAATCGCAAATAACTCTCAGGAGAAAATTTAATGATATTTATATGTATATAGCGGACAAGAAGAATCAGTGTAAATTTTACAATAATATTGGCGCATGTTTAAATTTCTAACTACCCTGCAGGAAAAAGTTTCTTGTCCTACTTTGATATTTACCTACGTTATCACCACTAGTAGCGAAATCTGGACCTGGGAATCTGACATTGTTAAAATTGGCAAAAGCAAAATCTAAAAAAGATTTTGCAGTTACCTAGAGTTGTGTAAATACGAACATATTTAGCAGAAAATACATACGTTATAAATTGAAGAAATTATAAAAAAGATTATTTTTCTTCAATAACAAAGTTCTATTGCTGATCATTCCAAAATACCCCTCCAGAATATTAATATATCTCCTGTTTTCCCTCATTACTTATTGCTCTATTTGGGTTATTCCCGAAATTTGCTACACTTTCCGGATTTTTTATTAATTTTTTTCATTCAAGTAGCACTTGGCCAAAAGTTCTATCATATAGACAGCTACAATGGAATCAGGCTCTTAAACGCTGCTTACAAGGTTTTCTTGGACTTTTCCACCGAAAAACCGTGCTACATAGAACTTCTTTATGTTCGATATTCTCTGCCTTATCCGAGTATGTGGGTAAAAAGTAAAAAAATATGAAACGTCAAACTCATCATAGGGTTCTAGACGTTATCTTACATAAGAATGAGCTGGATTTGTATTTCGGATCTCGAATATTTTTTTAGTTACAAATTGTTAACCTTTTAGGTGAGTAACCAACATTTCGGAGAAAAGTAGAGTTCTAACTAGCTAGTAGTTTTTCTTGCAGGGTATGAATACTCAACACAAGCACGCCTCCATAAGCTAAATGCTGAGTACAATGAAATTTAATTTTTAATCTTTTAAATTTTATGTTGAAAGGTCAGCTACTAACCGACAAAATATTTACGTCGTAACATTCATTTGGTCCAACAGTTATATTGGTATAACATCATGAATAGTTCATCGCTTATTTCGAGTTACCAACAAAAATCATCGGATGATGAACATAGTGCTGGGGTGGTCTCTTCGCTGGACTACTTAGTGCAAAATTATGTTTTGAATCTCAGTACACCCTTTTTCTTGACACTTTGTTGTTACAATGAGGAAGCATGTGATTTCTACAACAATCTGCTAAAGAAATTTATTCAAATGTGTGGGACAGCGCCACTTCAGTTGGTGGTTGGGAAAGCGCCGCTGCAACATTTACCAGGATCAAGAAATTTCAATATCTTGTTAGTCGACTCTTTTCAGGCGTTTGTGTAAGTGTAAAGATAGTATATACATACACTGTTATGTAGGTACAATATACTCACACCAGACTATCGATCATCCACAGAGCTCTAAAATATGATATAATAAATGTACCTACATATGTATGTAAAAAAATTTGTATCATTTACATTAGAGTGAATCACCAAAAAAAGTTGCGGTTTTAAAAAATTTATTAAGATTTACGGGAGCTGGGCCGATATAAAAATACTTCCAAAACTCTTATTATTTTAATTTCGTTGACAAAATATTTAAACATGTTGAAAATAATGTAAAAATGTTAATATAAATTTATTTATAAAAAGCTCGATTTTGTCAGATATTTTCAATTGGGTCCAGCTCACGTAAACCTTAATATTTTTATAAAAAAATATTTTTTCGGAGGTCTTAAATATAAAACGTTTTCTAATTCCGACGGAAAAACAATATCGATTTATTTTTTTATTTTTTTTTTTTCGTATGAATAATGATGCACCCTAATATTTTAGTATTTTCCCGCTTCTATGAAAAAATGTTTGAATGCATATGTATTTCTTCGATACTAATATTGCCGCCTACACAACACTCAACAACAATAATGAGTTCTATTATATTTTTCTAAAAATTTACGACGATCTAGCATTCGAGCACATGCAAAAAATTTTCTCTTTTTGTTGGTCCAATCAACTTATCAATTGTAGTGTTCAATTGAAAAATGCCTTTGGAGAGATATTAGTTTACACCTACTTTCCATTCGCAGCCACACATTGTGGCCACATAGAGCCGATTGTAATCAATCGATTCAATGGACACACTTTCGATAGTTCGGATATTTTTCCACGCAAATTATTAAATTTCTATGGTTGTGCGCTGAGGGCGGCTTTATGGGATGTGCCGCCATATTTATCGCTTGAAAGTAATGTTGAGGGTGCGAGTCGTATTTTAGGCGGATTCGAGGGAAATTTCTTGCTGACTTTGTCCAGGAAATTAAATTTTACAATAGACATTAAAATTCCACCAAATAATGAAAGACGTGGTCAACATGTAAATAAGGAGTGGACTGGTGCAATGGGAATGGTAGGTAAATCTTCTACTAATTTCGCTGGGCATGCCCTTCTCAATGAACACTGCACATTTTCGTCCGCGACTCTTCTGGGCCACTTGGTTGTTTTTCGCATTGATCTTGCGCGCTGTGTACCAGTCTTTGATCTTTCATGTTATACGGACACGAGCCACTCAACATATTCCAGAAGACTTCGTTGAATTAGCCGACAAGGGTTATACTGATGTCTTAAACAGCATCACATATGAAACTTTGAAAGATGTACCATTTCTCTTGAAATTGAAATGACGTAATCTGGAAAGGGCAGTTGATTTTTTTGAATATATTCTAAAGGAGTCACGTCGTGATGTCGCCTTCATTGGACCTTCTAATTTTCTCTACTACTATATGCACGCCGAGAAAAAGTATGCATTTTTTAAAATATTAAAACAGAAAGTTTTAAACTTGCACACCACAATATATCTCACGAAACACTCTTACCTTATCGATGAGTTCCAGAATCAGATTTTGTGGATGCAAGCGGCTGGTCTCATTGATGCCTGGGCTCGCTGGGAGTTGTACGATGATAAAAAGGATCTGAGCGAATTTGGGGAGGATGATATGCAGGAAGCTAAGGAACTCTACATACTGATTATAATCGGAACGTGCGGTCTGACCGTAGCGTTCATCATTTTCTTCTTAGAGATATTATCAAAGCGATGTATTCAATTAGAAAAAATATTTTCAAAGCTTTAAATTGGCGATACAAATTGTAAAGCTTGTCCTATATCTAAATCGAAATAAATGCCAGGTATGAAGGTAAAATGGATTAGTGTTTTAATTCATTCGAAAGGTGTTGCTTATATGTATTTTTGATATAACCTCGCTAGAAAAGGCACATTTCCTTTGGTATGTGGGCTTAGCTAAATCATCATTCATTCCTGTCCTGTTCTAGGAAAATGCTGCCGCTCTTGCAGCTTCCGCGCAACCCACTCTTCAGCTTAGGGCTGACGATTGGCAGGGACCAAGAACTCCCACTTCCTTACCCAGCGTTTCTCGCGACACCATGCCTATTGGCATGGGCAGGTGCAGAAAACGAAGCAGCACAGGTGCGGACCACCACCACTACTCCTACCACGTAGTGCCTGCACTAGCTCGAGTAAGGGAAGATTCCAGGCGAAGCTTTGTCATGGCAGGAGTTCGAGCAGATGTCGAAAAAGAACAGCGTGCGTGTGAAGATCGCAAGCGAAGAGGCGAGGAAGTTTCCAGAACCCACGCCTACTGACAGGCAGAAAAGCGGGAAACAATAGTATCAACAAAAGAGTCGACCCTGGCTGAGGAGCGGGAAACAGTAGGAGTACCAGAGCCTCACGCACCCGATGAACCAACAGGTGCGAACAATGGTGAAGCATTGGCATCAAAGTAGAGCAGCAGGCAGATCACGCCACCAGAGTAACCCACCAAGAATCTACAGCGGGAGCAACCACCCCCTCCGGGATCATGGTCCAGAAACATGGGTACAACTGCCAGCCAGGGACACGCACATGAGGGAGCCACTCAGCAGCCCAGCTACTTGAAAGCTCTTGTAAGACATTCGCGTGGCTGCGCTGCCTTGTTAATACGGTGATGTTGCCCTGAGCTCGGACCTGCCTCCAGGACGTCATTATAGAAGAGGTACATATGTAAAGGAAGGTTCCGAGTTTTGCGGGTTGGAAGGGCCAGCAATGTGCACCAAAATAGGGGATGATATCCCTCCGGTGCACAATATCACGGTGTTCCTTCCGAGGAGCGCTGATAAATCACAGTATCCATACCTCCACATGGAAGGTGATATCCTGCAGAACCGAGGAGAACGGTCCCGCGCGGGCATAGGTGACGAGTCGTATGTCAGGATTAAAAGGGTTGGCTTCAACGTGGCGTGGCGACATAAGACGACAGGCAGCAAGGTCTCAGCCTACTTGGAGGTGACGGGAGCTCGCAGGAAAGCGATGCGCCGACTCTTAGATCAGTCAAAGCGCACGGGAAACTGAGACGAGTATTCAGCCAACCTAACAACATACAGTCGAAAGGTTAGAAAAGCCAAGCATAGCAGCTACAGGACCTTTTATGAGAGCACCTTACCGACCCCTGCAGCTGCTAGGCTACCTGATGGTACCTAGCCTAGTAACCGAGTGATCAATACGATGGGCGCTGGACTATATTTAACGGTAAAAGGCCACCGCGGTGTTTGGCATCAGTCCCGTGCTGCTGAAGCAGGGCGGAGAGCTCCAACTCCCACATCTTGTCGACATAGTGAGGATCAGTCCAGCACTGGCTCACATAGCACAGCACTAGTCTAGCACAACAGAGAGGCAGTGCTCTGTGCCTTCCTTGACATAGAGAGGACTTTCGACAACGCATCTCATTTGGGCGTCGATCGGGCACTACCATCCGCAGATGGATAGCTAGGCTGCTAAATACTGGGATTGCTGAAATCGAAATCGGCGACAGCGTAGTACAACTCTAAACAACAAAAGGTTGCCCTCACGGAGGAGTTACATCTCCTCTCCAGTGGAATCTAGTTGAGCTAATGATTATTTCTGGGCGGAAGCTCGCGAGTTCCCTCGGAGACATAGTCCAAAGGGGACATAGTCTTGCGAAAAGGTACTTTGCTGAGGTTCTTCTTAAGATTGATCCCTCTAAGCCAGCCATTGTCCCCTTTACCATACCATTTCAATCAATTTTCAAATTTTATTTAAGGAAGACTTTCATCCAGATCCCGTATATAGTTCCAAGAAATGTTGCTCTACGCAAATCCCGTTCCGCGGTCGTCGCATTTTCAAACCTCCGAGTGCCATAAGATCGCTTCTCATAAAAACCATTTGCCATTCGGAGGCGACCTAGAACTTTAGGTCACCTAATTTGCGTGACAAGATCAGCACTCACAAACCGTTTTAGGCATGCATTTAAAAAACTAGCGAAAGGTCAGCAAACTATTATAGGAATATACATATCGCATACCGTCTTCAAAAGAGTACATCAGTACAGTGGGGCAGTTAAGCTCTACCCAGTAGTACGATTCACTAACTACACTGGATCACAAATTATAGATTGGTTTTTTTTTCTCCAGACGCCACTATCCAATTTCTATGTGGAATTGCTCGGTGATTCCGAAAATCGAGTTCATTTATTTTTCTATGGATACATTTTCGAGATATTTGCAATTTACCGTTATTCAGCTTAAAACAAGGGGTGGTTCCACTTAATCACGTATATCTTACGAAAACAATCATAAAATGAGATACCTCAAATCAAAGCTAATAAAATTCTCCATAAACCGTATATACACCACTTTCCGATAGGACTAATAGTTTATGACAAATTAACTAATAATTCCAGTTTTTTTATTTTTTAATGAAAAAAAAACTAACTCTAACAGAAAAAAATTAAAAAAAAACAAGTTATGTGCCAAATTTTTGCATTTGTTCTAAAGCTTGTTCTGTTACAAAAAAAAAATCAAGTTACTAATGAAGGAAAGCGAGGGATAAATAAAGAAGTAATGAGTGGTCAAATGAAAGTACGCCAAGAATTTTTGTATGAAAAATCAGCAGGAAGGCATGTTACTGAGGTGTACGTGGCGTATGAGTAATTTTCTTTCTTGCTCATTTTTCATACAAAAAAGCATATTTCGTGCCCGGAATCAACAAATCAGCTCTTAACAATGATTTTACGTTTATTTATCTTATACGGCTAATAAAACTATCAAATAATTACATTTTCTAAAAATTCTGTGGTATTTTCCACACTATTTCAAATTGCCCTTTTGCACATTTGTGCCCGGAAAAAAGTCCGGTCTGTTTCGTGCACAAAGAAGAAAACATTTACGACCCAAAAGTGGAACGTATTCGCTCTCTATTACCCATATTTTTAGCGGAATGAACGCTTTCTGTGCTGTTTTGAGCACCCACGGGATGTTGTTGTTGTTGTAGCGGCTGCAAAAACCCCGCCCAGTTCGGTTAGTCCCCCAATCGTTGTCGTCAAGCTCTACTAGCGGTAGCTCCAGCAAGTGTGCAGCCTCGACGGGGTCTGTCCATAGGGGCAGCGGCGTTAGTAAGGTGGGATTCAGAGGGCATACGAAGAGATGCTGTGAGTCATGGGGCGACTCTCCGCATGCCGGACATTCGTTGAGAACATCTTCGTTTAATCTGCTCAGGCACCCACGGGATCCCGCAGCCTCGTGTGGAACAAACCTATTGATGCGCCTAAAAGATGCAGCGATTTCCATTCTCACGTTACATACCTGTTGACAGTACGAATAGAAATTATACGAACGAGTTGTTAGTTTTTTAAACTATATCCTTTTTTATTTAACCTTCTATATAACAAATGTGGGAAAATAAATTCTCTACAAATTTGTACAAAATCTCGAAAAGCTCAAAAAAAAAAACTATAATCCAAGATTGCGGAATGTTGCCAAATGAAATTTAGGGGCAAGATTTTGGATCCATGATCAAATAGAAGTAAACTGCATCAATAAATCACTGTTACAATTTTTTTTGTTTTGCGTACCAAATTTATCTAATTTTACCGGGCTATTGTTGATTCAAGAAGATTTATACAAAAAACAATTTTTGCACTAAGGTTCAGTTTCTCATGGAACCTCCCAAATGACATTTGCCGACTTTAATTGAATGCGAACCAAATTCCGATTCCGTTTTATGCAGCAATGTTCCGTAACAATGACGGCATCAAGAGTTTAAAAGTTTCCTTTGCAATGCATTTTTTTCAAGATTTTGGTAGAATACATTAAAGTAGGTACACCTAAGGTGACGATTTCTAATTTCATATTTTATGTACGCTTATATTCTTAGTTTCCCACGACAGCCGGTTCTACGTACCGGAATGACTCGGGTTTCACCCGACCAAGGGCTGTTGTTTCGGCGATCTAACCCCGTTTAGGTCGGCGAAGTGTCTCAGAAGTTGTCCGTCCATAGGGCAACATTCACTACGCATTCTCCTACTCAGGGCTGGCATCGAGTCAAACCCTGGGCCAGAAATATACACCTGCTGTGTATGCCGAAGACGATTACACCACAACTCCACCTCAGTCAAGTGTAATGCCTGCGAGGGGTGGAGTCACCTCAGGGTCTGCTCGGGACTACGGACACACAGACAGTGGACCACGTCGTACGTGGCCCCCTGTTGCTCAAACAGAGCAGCCTCCACGGCAAACCATAGTCCGCCCGTGCAGCCCCACACACTCACACAGCAACCACACACAGTCGCCACTACACAACAACATAATAACACCACAGACCGTACCATAGCCACCACAGACCACATAACACACACAACCGCACCACCACCCACACGCCGCCGCCAACAACTCCTGGTTCCCCCTACAATCTGCACGGTATGTCAGACCAGAATATTCCGTAATGTGACATCAGTCAAGTGCAACACCTGCCTTGGCTGGTGCCACTTTAGGGCATGTTCAGGTCTGCGTACCACGCGAGATTGGACGGGGAACTTCGAGGGCCCGTGTTGCGCTGCTCGGTCGCAGACTTCAATTGCGACGCCCCCCACCACCACCACAGGGCGGCAATCACCTCAGCAGCACACACAGCCAACGGCGGCAAGAACATACACCTCACTTACACCCCACATCACGACACGTCTCCCGAACCACATGAAGCTCCTCCAATTCAACTGTAACGGGCTACAGAGCAAGATTGAGGAGATAACCGTCTTCATGTGTCGGCATGGTATATTAATAGCTGCGGTCCAAGAGACGAAGTTGCACAGCAATTCAACTTTGTTGAATTGCGCCGGGTACAACGTGCACCGTCGAGAT